TTATTCTTCTTCTCTCGGCCTAGGCAAGCATTTGAACCCACAAAAGTTTAAAATTACTATAATGCGCTTAATGACCCTTCTAGTTTTGTCTTTTCATTAAGGAAATTATAGTAATTTTATTTTAATTCAAGCTGATTAATGAGCCCTATAATCACAACTCTACCCTCGAACGTAACTCTACGTTTCACAATGCATATTTGGTTTGAAAAAAATAAGAAAAAAAATAAATTTATCTTCCCATAAAATTAAGATTTTAGTAAAATTTTACCATCCATACATTTTTCGCTAACTAAACATATTCAAACAACGCATTTTCATTGTGGTTGTTCAGACTTCAAATCAGCGAACAATAGCGTTTATATAATATTTTCAACTTAAGAGCAGACAGTTTTAATTTTTTAATATTATATATATTTCGTAGGTTTAGATTTTTTTTAAAATTTTAAATTTTTAAATTTTTTTAAGTTTAAAAAGATAATAAACAATAAATTTTAAAAAATTTTAAATTTATACTTTTTATAAATTTTCTTTTTTCTTACTTTTTATTATTATTTTTTTAAAATAATTTTTAAAACTCCTTTCCAATAAAAATTTTAATTTATTACTTATTAATAATAAAAATAAAAAATAAAACCTCTTGCAAATTTCACCAAACATATTTTCATTTCTAAACAAAGTCCAGTCTAAAGAGGTTGCACAAGTAACGTTACTTGTTAACAATACTAAGCATGCGTAGACTCCTAACTACATTACGATTGTTTAGTGATATCTCAAATTCATCAATTAGAAAAAGGAACACCATTCATTTTGGCTTGAAGAGATTCTTGGCAAACTCAGCAAGCTTTTCAGTCTCAGGAATAATGCCTTTCACGGCAGCGTCAGAGCAAAACCTCTCAGACCACTTGAGCAGAGCAGGAGTCTTGGATTCATCAAGCAGCTTAACCCCATTAGATTTCTCAGTGACCCTCAGCCACGCCAAGAAGCAACCAAATGCTATGTCAAGGAACCCAATTCGATCCCCTCCGAAGAAAGCCTTCCCTTTGCTAATCTTTGTAAATGCCTCCTCCAACACTGCCATCCCTTCTTCCATCTGTGCTATCGCTGCCTTCTTGCCATCTGCATCCGCGGTGCGAATAGCTTTCATCAACGGAAACCACTACAAAATAATCAAAGTTATGGACTTCAGACATTAAAAGAACTAATTAACATGTGTTGGGTTAGAACATTTATGGAATACCTTCTCGTCAATGTAAGCAGCCCAAAATCGAGCAATGGCACGGTCGTATGGATCAGAGGGAAGAATAGAGGGACCATGGGACCAAACCTCATCGATGTAATGAACGATGATGAGAGACTCACAGATGGGTCTATCACCATGGATGAGAACTGGGATTTTCTTGTGGACAGGGTTTGATTTGAGAAGAAGCTCGCTTTTTGCCCCTGGCTTCTCCTGGATAAACTCGTAATCCACTGATTTGATGTTAAGGGCAATTCTTGCTCTAATCACAAAAGGGCTCGGCCATGCACCCAGAAGCTTAACGTCCTTACCCGCCATTGCTTCTCTCTCGGAACACCAAAATGCCTGCAGAGGCTTGATTCTGATTGATACTCTTGAAAGCCTTATGTGTATATATGCTGATATAAATACTCAGAGAGGAAAAAAAAAAAAAAAACCCAAATACGAACGCATGGAAGAGAGAAAAATGTGAGGTACAGGCGTGGAGGGTAGCTGTAAAGTCCTAACTACTCCCACCACAGGAGTGTAGTAGTTGCTTGTAAAGCCATTTGATTGAGGCGGTTGGAGTTTGGTGGGTTGTGCGGAGGAAACACGTCCACCGCAGCTCCAGAAGATTGATGGTCTCGGATCTTTGATGGAGGACTTCTAGAAAGTCCTGAAGGTCTTGCTGATGGGTAAAACACAAGGGCCAGGTGTACGAGTATTGGTTTTCGACACCTCTATCTATATTGTGGTTAATTTGATTAATATTTGTATATTTTTTGCATGTGATTATATAGGTGGTTTGATATTTAAAAATATTAGGTTATAAATTAATTTTAATTTATTAAAAAATTTATTTATTTATTTTCGATAGTATGAATTTAACTTTTTTATTTTTAATAAAAAATTTAAATAAAAATTTAATAATTTATATAAATACTAATTAAAATTTTTTTATATAAAATTTTTATCAAATATTTTTATTTAATAAAAAAATTTTAATTATCATTTAGAAAATATGTCAAGTTTTTATTTAAATTTTATATTTAAAATATTTAAAATATTAAAAAATTAAATTTAATCTATTGAAAATGATCTAAAAAATAATAAATTATTAATTTTTTCATGAGTTATTAGTTGTTATTAATAATTAAATTAAATTTATATTTTTTTAACACAATTTAAATAATCTTAATAAATAAATTAATAACCATAACCACACACCATTTTACTAACAGGATTATACAAGAATCTAGTATGATATACCGGTGTCTAAACTACAAAATACAAATCACTTCACTTATTATTCGAGACTGGTTGCCATCCAATATTTTACAACTTAGTCCCTGACTTTAAAACATTTTTAGGTTCTTTTATCTTGTGATTTTAGAAGGTAGGTTAATAATATAATAAATATATTTTTTTATCATAAATTTATATTTAAAAACTAAAAATTAATATCTAATTTATTAATCATTTAATTAAGTTTATTTATTTAATAATAATTTTAAAATTAATATTAATTTTTATATATTTTTAATATATATTTATAATAAAAATATAATTTTAATATATATGTTAAAGGTATAAGTAAATTCGTTAAGATAATATAAATTATATTATATTTAATTAATATTTATTAATTTATAATTTTTAAATAATTAATTATATTATTTAAATATATGATTTTATTAATTATTAATTATTTTTAAAAGCTACACTAAATGAACAATATTTTTTAAAACAAACAGTATTTTTTAAGTGCTGTTTTAAAAAAAAAAAAAACTATTTTTTAAGTTAATACCCGTTAGTTGTTTTGAAAAGGCCACCGCACAGAGGAAAAAGATAAAAATCAATGCACCAGCCGGGAATCGAACCCGGGTCTGTACCGTGGCAGGGTACTATTCTACCACTAGACCACTGGTGCTTTATTGACAGTTGTTAAACTAAATAAATGTTGTATTTATTTCAAATTAGAATTTTTTCCCATCATTTTATGTAAAAAGATTAAATTGGTGATATAAAAAAATGAAATTTTTTAATATATGTTTATTTTTGTTATAAATTTACAGAAAAATAAAAATTAATATTAATTTTAGTGTTGTTGTCATATAAATAACATAAATAAATTTAATTGAACATTAATAAATTAAATATTAATTTTATTTTTTAATATAATTTACAAAAAAATTATTTATTACAGTTTTAACTTATATTTAAAAATTAAAAAACATCCAACTCCCTGCCCTCTCAAGTTATTCTGATTTTTCAGGTGCGAGGCTCGAATGAGTAGGTCAGACCTCAGACCCATTTCGAGGCTCAAATGTAATGGAATTCTATTTGGGTTCAAGGAAGAAGCCTGTTTGATCATGGGCCCTCAGACCCACTTTCAGTGAATATATATATATTATCTTGATTGCATAATAAAAAATAATCATTTTTTATCTTTAATCTCACTTCACCCACGTGCCATACAATTCAAATTCAGAACCTTTTACTTTCAATGAAAAAAAATAATTATTAAATTATTTAAGTGCGTTACTGTAAAAAAAAAAACATATATATATATATATAAAGAAAATTGCAGGTTATCATTGCACTTCCCAGTTCCCTTTCTCACTTCTTTTTATTGGGAAAAAGATGTTAGGAATTAGGATAGTGAAGGCCGAGGCCCTGATAGTGAAGGCCCAATGACAGCATATTCTTTAACTACAAAATAACGATGTGCATCATTGTTGTTTTAAGCGAAGGGTTTTTCATATCTTAATGCCATGTGTCACCAAGTTATAAATATTTTTTATTATAAATTTTTATAAAATATATATATAAATATTAATATTCATATTAATATTAATATTAAGTAAATAAATTGAATTATATAATTTATAAATTAAAAATTAATTTTTATTTTTTAAATATAAATTTATGATTAAAATGTGCACAAATTTATAACACCATTAGAGGGAGGAAAAGATTGTCTTCACTTTCCACTACAGTATTTTTTTTTTATATCTTAGTTGTACAATAAGAGGCAATCATTTACTATCTTTTATTTTACAATACTCGCATACTATGTGATTTAAACTCAAGATCTGTTACTTCTAGCGAAAAGAAATGAATAGTAATTTCATCTATGATTAAAGAGAAGTTATTCCTTCTTTTATTTTTGTGGTTGAAATTTTGGTTGTACTCTTTAATATATTTTGCTTACATGTAATCTCTTTTAGGGTCAATGGAGCACCCTTCCATGCTTTAAGAGGTTGAAGAAAATATATAAAAATAGAAATCAAGATGACTGAAAACTGGAAAGGTAAGTGCACTAATATTCCACCACATCGCATCTCCATTGCTTTTCTCCATCGATCATATTCTTGCTTTTCCCTTTTGAGGGGACTGAAACCAGTGGATTGCTCAAATTATGAACCTTCAAACGCATAGAATATATTCAGTGGATTCCCTTGTTTTCTGGGTGGAGAAGTAGGTAGCACTTAGAAAAAAAAATGGCAACTTGGAATAAGTAACTTTATAGAACACAGCAATTTAACTCTTGAAATAGGGACCCTTTTGCTTTTTAGAAGGGATGGAAGAACTCTACTTAGCTCATAATGATTGTAACAGCATGAAACTTTGATTAAGTTAATGGGACAACATCTCGGGTTGGCAAAAGAAAAAAAATGTCAGTTCAATCAACCATAGAGCATAGCGTTTAGATGTGGTACATATTTCTTTCCCTTTTCCCTACATCATAATGTTGTGATAATCACTTAATGGCGAGAAAATAAAGATATTGAAGCGTTAGTTTCAGTCCTATTATCCTGCAAATGAAATGCTTAATAGATTGGCATTCAAGGGAACTCAAAAGCAAAGAAGTGCCTTTTATTCTGAAAGATAAAAGAAAAAGGAAATGTGTTCTTTCTGGATAAGAACAAGAGGGCGGAGGTCAATCTTGCTTGGATGCTAAGAAAACCACAGTAACAAGGTTGTAGCAAGATACTGGTACAAACTTCCTCAGTATTGTCACCGTTTTAGAATCTAACAATGACCTGTGAAATTCTCTTTTCTAATTTTCAACTATAAAATCATTTAATTTGATTTGATTCAAAAAAATAACATGCACATAATATGATTTTAAATTTAGCATATGATTATTTGACAAAACTATACCAATAATATTACTAAAATTTTAATTAAATTAATACTTAATAATCATAAAACTTTAATTTAGTGTCACAATTAAATATTCAAAGTTCTACAACACTAAGCAATTAACTTATAAGAAACCAAAATTTTTGAAATCATAGAACCTAACCGAGGGAGTCTTAAAAAAAAGGCATCTAATAATGGAAAAGGCAAAGAACAGTAGAACTTAAACGTTATCCAACCTCAAACCGAAAGTCATAGAATCAGTCCCCAAGACACATTTTCACTCAAAAGCACACCGCACACACAAAATCAAGCGGCATACTCTCCATTCAAATATATACCAACACAAACCTTCACCCCTCATCTCCTCTTATCCCTCAACATGAAGCAAAAGCTCTTTTTCTCCATCACTTTCACCTTCCTTGCATCCTTAGCCTCATCACAAACATGCCTAAGAAGCTGTGGGAGAATTCCCCTGAGGTACCCATTTGGCATCGGAGAAGGCTGCGGTGATCCTCAGTTTCAGCAATTCATCTGCTGCAACGGTGACGAGTTGACATTCAAAACACACACTGGCAGTTACCCAATAACCAACATAGATTACACCAAACAAGAAATCTACATTACTGACCCTTCCATGTCCACCTGCGCCTGCAATCAGCCAAGCAAAGGCTTCGGCCTTGACAGGAATGCCCCCTTTGACTTCACCGAGGACACTATCTTCACCCTCCTCGAGTGCTCCATCGACTCCTCCCCCATTTTCCGAGGCGGCAACAACTCCAGTTTTCCCATGTGTGACCAACAGGGTTCACCCATCTGCAGCTACTTGTACTCATGCAATGCAATCAGTCTCCTCAACCTCCCCATCTCTACCTGCTGTGTTTACACTCCGGTGGACCTCGGGCCGTCGTTTGAGATGGATTTGCAGACGCTGCAGTGTTCTTCTTACTCTGCATTCTACAGCTTTAACGGCCAGCAATCAAACCCGGAAAACTGGAAGTATGGAATTGCCCTGAAGTACAAGATCAATGTGTATAATTACTATCCGAGATTCTGTAAAGATTGTGAGAAGAGCGATGGAATCTGCAGCTACGCTGCAGCTTCCAGTTCCTTCTTCTGCAACTGTCCCACAGGAATCAACACAAGCAGTTCTTGTTACTATGTGCAATCTTACAGCAATGGTTTCAGGGTTCTTCCATGGCTAACAGGTATTGAATCTAATAAACATTTCAAATTATTTCATTGAAATTTCTTGCTTGGTTTCTGAAATTTTAGTTTTCTTGGTATTGCAGGGATTTTCCTGGTCCATATTCTAGCGTGGATTCTGAGATGGGTCTCGCTGTGAAAGAGAAATCCATAGAATTCCAACCTCCAAAAGGAACCAAGTTTGGCCTTTGCTTTAGTATTGTTATTTCTTTTGTTTTTTTGGGTAAAATGTGAATTTATTTCCGATGCTTTAGTATTGTTTATTAGACTTTCTGCAATGTCAATGTTTAAATATTCTTATATTGTACCTTCATAATGAAGGAAGTATAAAAGGGAAAGTAGTTTCAATTTCTCCTTTGGAAGAATGTATTTTAACGTATTTAAACTCAATTGAGTTAATACTTATTAATTATAAAACTTACTTAAGGTAAAAATTGAGTACAAATCTTTACAATAAATTTTTTTTTTATATTAATCCCTCTGATATTCAATGATTATATTAAGTTTCGATTAATTCAGAATTAAATCGTGTTTAACTCGATTAGGAAAAACTTTCTCAACGTCTATTTCTACAATTATTGAAAGGTTTATGTTCTATATAAAAATTACAGACATATTTTAGATTTTTTTATTTAAAAAAAAAAGGATTCAAATTGAAGTGATGAGGATCACAAAGTAGACCTAATTTCAGAATTTAGGGGCAGCATAAAGCATCCTTTTAGGGTTAGGGTTTGGTACCAAGAACACGATGATGGAATAAGATTCCTTCTTTTGAGCTCTAGAAGAGATTCCTTTCACCATAAAGATTTTTCTATTCTTAGTTACACCTGCAGGCGCTGGAAAGCAATAAAGAAAACCTGTGCCCATGTTTTTGTTCTGTAACATAAAGGAGTTAGAATCACTTGTGTACAACTCTTAAATATATTATTTTTATATAAAATTTAATAATTTTTTTTTTCATTATAAATTATTAAGATTTATTACAACTTTTAAAATAAAAAACAATTATCTTTGAAAAATAAGATTAATAAACAGATAAATCTCAACATTTTATAATGAAAACATATGTATAAGTGAATCTTAATTCATATGTAAGTTTTTGAATCTCCTTTTCATCTTGTTCGTGTAGCCATCTGGTGCAGTCCCTCCATAAAGAAAGAGGTAGGAATCTTGAATAGATGTACATAAATGAAAATTCATAAATTTTCATTTCCTTGGCTCTGTAGTTCTTTACCCTGGATTACAAAGCAGTTGTTTATATAGGATCATTGTATACATTTCTGACATTGGGGAATGTTGGACCAAATGGCCCAAAGAATGAATTTTGAAAGTGAAGCAGGGATAGGCCTAATATGTCTTTTAACTTAAACCCCATATATACAAAGATATACTGTGACTGCAAAATTTGCCTAGGTCTTGCTTTTGAAATTTACCATGGTGAACAACGGTCATCTCATGTTACAGCACTGGGGCTTTCCCTGGGACTGCAATTTATCCCACATGCACATCATCTGTCTCGGAGATTGGTAATGAGCAGTGTAATAATCCTCTATGCATCCAAACTGGCAGAACTTCAAACTGTGGATGTATTCAACTGGTTTTGAACTGTTGAACTGTTCTACCCACATTCCCATGCTCACATCTTCCATCTTGAATAGCTGAAACAAGTGGTCGTTTGGTTTAATTGCCAATGTTCATCAACACTAATCCTATTTTAAGCGTGGACAAAAGGGTGCATGCAGTTGTAGGTACACTGGTGCAGACACAAACAAAAAGCAAGTGTAGAGAAGGAAGTGAACAGGATAAAAAGGCACAGATTGTAAGGGAAAATAGATGACTTACTCGCAACTTGTGTTGCTCAAACTCCACTACAACAAACCATGCAATGTCAAATGACAGTATGTAGCCTGGACCATTTGCATATGGTGGATAATCTTCTTCTGGCCATTCCTGCAACTCATCATAAATAAAATACAGTGAGTGGTTGACTATGATATAGATAACAGTGGACTATCAGAAATGAAAACTTTTGCCGAGAAATGGAGTTCCTTTGGGGAAAAGCTTCTTTCATTGAGGGCACACAACCCCACAATCAGGAGGCTTTATGAGGTCCCTATAATTTTGGGTGATTTGCAAACACCTTAAATCATAGATCAGGCGAAGGACAAATTTAGAACAACAATGAGAAGTGTTTTCCAGCATTGTCAAGAGAACTCTTCACTAACAGTAACATAAACTGGAACGTCAACAAATCATCCAAGTGAAAAAATTCTTAGAAAGGCTACTCTCAAAAAGCAAAATGAGTGTACAAGGACATGGCAGTATCTTAACAGAGTGTAGGAGAAAAAGTGTCCTGATCTAAAAAGAATACTTAGTCCCAAAAGATTTGAAAAATTCAACAGCAACTGTACCTCATATGTCACAGCCCATTTACCAGCCCGGAGGGGCTTATGGTAGTAGTTTATGTTTCCAATATAGAAGCTACTATCTCCAGGGACTTTCCTTGCTTCTGCAATGACAGTATCCACCCTAACAAATGTGTCGTCATCACACTTCATAATATATTTTGAAGCCACAGTGCGAACCTGTTATAACCAAAGACAGGGTGACAATAAGTCTAAGACTGAACTTTTCAATCAAACAACAAAAGCACCTTTCTAAACCAAGTCCATCCTGTCACTCACCCCATATTCACAGATAGCAACAGTCTTTAGTACAACAAGGTCATAGTTATCCATGTAAGGGACCATAACAATATCACCAAAATACTCTGCTTCTTTCTTCAACTCCACATTTACTTCCTTTCGTGCATGCTTAAAAGCAAAAAGATGGCAAATACAGAACCTATCAGCATTTTTCAGCTTATTTTTCATTCATAAAGGATTTCTCATAGAAAATAGACATGCTCCTGTATCTACTCTTACCAGTGCTACAAAAAACCGAGCCACTACTTTTGAAGATTTTATCAACTTATGCTGCATCCAGGACTTTCTCACAGCCATCCGCTCAGAAAAGTGGTTGCCAGCAGAAAGTATGCCAATGAAAAGCTCTACATGTTGATCGGGAAGTGGTGGTGCTTTCCATTTACTCAACTTCTCAAGATGCTTTTGTGGAGCAAAACTTGGATGTGAATTTGGTAGGGCAGCAGCAAACACAGAGTGCACATCAATGTCTCCAGTTAAAGATAGTCCAGTGGCATCCTCAAGAACAAATCCCTGTAGATATTATTAGTATTTTTGAGATATTTTGTGTTTCATCACAAGATTAAGCAACACCATACTCACAGTTCGATATGGAAAAGAGGTGACATGACGCCCATCAACGTTGACATGGTAACCCTCTAAGCCAGCCCTTAAAGTAAGAACAAACATTTTTCCCTCTGAGAAAGGATATGGCCAGTCAAATGTCATTTTCTTTTTCCTTCCTATCAGCCTGTTCAACCACCATGTAGCCTTTGATTCTTCGGAGCGAACATCATCATCTCGGATCCATTTCTCACATTTAACTTGTCCATCAACTTCATAAAATCCAAACAATCAACAAACATGGGGAATGTGAATGTTACTTTGCAATAACAGAATCCCAACTTTACTATGAAAATGCCTCAATTTGCATCAATAGATAGCATGCCAACAACAATCATACCCACACCAATAGCATCAGAACACCGTTTTCGACTTCCAACCTAATTCCACATTTAAACATTATAATGACAGTACACCAACAACCAACAAACTCATATCATTAGTGAGAGTCCAACAAAACAAATGAGAAACACATACCTGTTTCCTCCTCAGCTTTAGACATCCACCCCTCGCACCTCAATCCAGTACCCCACTGCATTCTGTAACAAGTATTTTGCTCGATCACTGGCTTTCCACTCCAGTCTCCCTTCAGCCGAGGATTGAAATGCAGAATCCGAGGCGGGTCCTCACCATCTACAGTCTTCAACCCCTGCAACTCCATCCTAAACTGCGACACCATTATAGAGTCATCCCCCTCTTTCAACACCGCTATCTTTGGATCGTACTCTGCATGCGCCCAATGTGGCATACCAACCACCGTAATGTGCGATCCCAGCGTTAAGCCACACGGTAGCACTAAGATCCGGCTCCTGTTCGAGAACTCCGACCCAGATAAGGAAATCGAATCCGGGCAAGATTCCGTTTGGCTTCTGGTTCCATTCCCCAGTTTCTGTGCTACATCCAATTTGATCTTACCCGATTCCATATCGTCCCATTGTTTCCTCCCCACCACAAATGCATGCCTCGCCGCCTTGTGAAGCACTGAGAACTCGTCTTTAGCATCATTTGCGTCAAACGAACTTTCATTAAAGAGAAGACCCGAAAGTTGCTTGAACTCACGCATTTGCCTAGCCGGCGTCCGTGTCCCATTCAGCGCAGTTTCCTCCTCTGGTCGAGCCGGCGCAGATTGCACGGTAAAGTCAAACTCGCTCTCCAGTGTCGGAATCCGGGGCAGTGCATCGGTGAGGAACCAATTCGGACCTGACCCAAACCCGGTTCTGAACACCAGAGGGATTTCAAAGCTCATGAAGAGAAGATAGAAAAACAGAACACCCATCATGAACTGAATCAGCCTGAGCCGACTCGGCTGCATCACCGACTCAAATTTTACTCGCTTCATCCCCACTTCCGAAACAGAAAAACCCACCAACTTTTCTACTGAAACTTTAAGAAACAGATGATGGGTTGGCTCCTGGATCAAAATCTGGGCCCTAGCCCTAGATTTCAGCACTGATTTTCGACGAAGAAGAACTGGGGTTTCACTGTTTTAAAACCCAAAAGCATATTTCGCCATTAATGGTCATGAAATGAAACTTCATGGGAAGAGAGAAGATTAAGAGACGAGTTTCATTAGCATTAACAAAAATTTTCAAACTTTACACCGGCGGAGGGAAATAAAATATTTTATAAACAATCAAATCTTTCCCCACGAAACGCTTCTCCCCTCGGCGGTTCTGTTCTGCCTCAGTGCCTCGCTTCCCTGTTCTTACTGGGGAACAGAAAAACAGAAAGCCTATTAATCGGCCCTGCGCTTCATTTTATTTCACATTTAACCCATTCACTATTTCGCATGTGTTCATTAAGACACCTAAAGACTAAAGTATATATAATCTGCAAATTAAGGCCAAAGTTAATGTTGGGGTGAAGGATGTGAGATTTAGTGACTATTTTTTTTAGCCTCTCTACTAACTCAGTAGTTTCCAAATCCATTACAAAATAAATAAATAAATAAATAAGTCAATAAATAAATAGATAGGCATGTAATGTTATGTTTTGCACTATAACGTCAACTTTGGTCTTTAATGAGCAACCTGTGTTGTTTAAAGACCTTAATAGTTAGTACAACCTAACTTGGGGACTATAACGCAGAACATATTAAAACGTTAAGGGCTTGTATGGTTGGAGAATAACTTTTCTGTGGAAGTAAGGTAATAACTTTGTAATGAAATTGTTTTTTTTTTTTTATATTTAATAATAAATTAAGAGAATAAATTTATTTATGTATAAATTTTATATATTATATTTATATAAAATTTTAATTATTTATTTTTATTTTTAATGATTAAGATTTATTATATTTTTTTAAAAAAATAATTATTTTTAATAAATATAAATAAATCTTGAAAATAAAAAAAATAAATAATTAAAATTTTATATAAATATAATATATAAATTTTATGTATAAAAAATTAATAACACAGCTGTTAAATAGTTCCTACATAAGAAAATAAAAATTTTATTTTCTTTAAAAATAATAAAAAAAATAATTGTATTAAAAAAAATAAAAATGTTATGTTTATCTTTATCATTTTTAGTATTAAAAATGTAAAAACATACAAATAAAAAGTTTGGAGAAGAAAGTTCCCGCGGGCCCCAACCAAATACAAATAGGCACTAAGTTCTAGATTCTACTAATAGTAGCGGGCCCCAAGTTCGTCAGATGGCTGAAACGGTGTCCCCCTGGGACGTACGGTAATGGCATTAGTGGATGTTTCGGTCAACTTTTAATTCTCTAACATAAATACAATATTTATTTTATGGGAATAATTCTTTTCTAGAATTTAATTCAGTGTATTAATGTTACTTAACTACAGGGCAAAAAAACATGGCTGAGATTTGGGTTTTAAAATTCAAATTAAATAAAAATGAGAGGCCGTTGTATGAACGATTTGAAAGGGTTGGGGGACCTGTGAGGACAATGGGTCATTTCTGGTTAGTTGGTGGAGAATTTAATTTTTTGGGACTGTCATTTTCTTGAATTTTTTCAAAATCAGGTTTGATGAGCATCCCATGATTCATCCCTAATCTTTTAAGATTGTTTCAATTAGATCTAACTTGTGTTTCAAGGTCCTTAGCATAATCAAATTCTTTACCTTGGATTATGGTTTACATTAGAATGAATCGGAATGATTATGAAATGAACACTAATTCTCAAAGTTATCAAAGAATCAATTTTTAATTAGGTTACAAAAAAGAACTAGGTCCAAGCAAAAAACATTAAAAATTGGGTTGAATTCATATTTTGGGTTTTATATTCTTGTCACAATGAAGAAACCAAAATTTGTTACATGAACTTAGGGGTGTTCGCAATGTGGTTTGGTTTGGATTTTAATCTTTTTTAAATCAATCTAATTTAATCTGTTAGTAAAATTTTTAAACCAATTCAATCCACTATTATATGATAACTAAATCAATCCAACTTAAATCGGATCGATGTGGTTCAGTTGGATTGATCGGTTTTTTACACTATTAAATATATGAGATAATATAAAAATTTTAACATTAAATAAAAAATATGACTATAAAATGCATTTAGAATTAGGGTTAAAGTGCATAATTTAAAAAGAGAAATAAATTAGAGAGTATAGTGATATTTTATTTTTATTTTTAAATTAAGTTAATGGAGTTATCATCTTATAAAATAAGAAAAAAATTTAAAATATTACAAAAAATACTACATTATTTAATTAAATTATCATGTAATTAGATTTTATTTTGTAATCAGACGATTTAGACAATTTAAAGGTAAAATTATAAACCAAACCAATTATTTCAGTTTTAAAATTTTATAATCCAAATTAATCCAATTTTATATTAGTTTGATTCAATTTTTTATTAAATTAGATCATTTTAAGTAAAATCAATTAGATTGGATCGGATTAACTATAAAATGTTGATGTTAAAATTTGTCACTAACAAAATAGTCCATTAGATCACTTCATTTTTATGAAGAGCTAATAGTATTTACAATAAGTGTTTTAGTTTGGCACTTCTTCACACAACCCTCTTTATAAAAAATACACATCTTTTTTTTTTTTTAATTATGTGTGTGAGAAATTATTTACTAAAGTATTAAAACTTTAAAAGGGTCGAACCATTGGTATGGGACATAATTGAACTATGGTTAAAAGATTTAGGAGCACCCACACAATTTATCCGTCAAAATATTAATTGTAAAATAAAAAATGGCATTTCTTGTCAGTAATAGCCAATTAAACTGGGATTAGTGATGTGATTGTACTTTGCCTGAAGACATAGGCAAAACAGAAAAGATGTGTCACTGAAAATGACTGCCATCACGATCCAACAGTAAATTTTCTAAAATCCTGATTGGGCAATTCCTTCGATCGAGTTCAAATTTCTGACTAGGAACCACTCCAGCCGACGAGGAAGGAAAAAACATGGTTTTGGCCTGGAATAATCATTCAACAGACGAAAACGCGGCATGAAAATAGGAACGGTAAATGATGCAAGATTTATGTATGTAATGTAATTATTAATTTGACCTCCTTATATTACTTATCATCTTTCATTTTCTTCCTGCGTTTTCATCCACTGCATCATTACTCTTTGGCTTGAGAGTATATCGGTGAAGTTTGTGACTGATTTAATGTTTTGATATTATTTATATTTTATAAATTTAATTTTTTTTTAAAAATTTTATATTTTTAATTTTAAAAAAAATTAAACAGTAAATTTTAAAAAAATTAATTTTTTATTTTT